CAGGATGCACAGCGCATGCTCGCCGACCAGATACTGTGTGTGGAGCAGTCTAACCTGGACTCCTTGTCCTTGGTGACTTTAATAAAGGAAACCTCAGTCACAAACTTCCTTAATACAAAGAGCTTATTAAATGCCCGACCAGAGAGAAAAACATACTGGATCACTGTTACACTACAGTCTGAGTACACAGAGGCTGTGACATCATACATCAGCTTCTGTGAGGACTGCTGTATACCATCAGTTTTAACAACGACAAACCCTGGTTCACAGCCAAACTCAGACAGTTACGGCTGCAGAAGGAGCAAGCGTTTAGGAGTGGAGACAGGGACAAGTTTAAGGAATCTAAGTACAAGTTTAGGAAGGCGGTGAGTGAAGCTAAACGACACAGTACTCTGAGAAACTTCAACATAACTCTCAGCCAACGACTCTGGTTCTGTCTGGAAGGGGCTCAGACAGATAACAAACTACAAGCCAAAAACCCCTCACTCCATCAACGACTTGCACCTGGCAAATGAGCTGAATGAGAGTGCCGCTTCGACAGACAAAGGTGCAGTCCTGACACCATCCCCCGTGACACCCCTCAACAACCCCACCTCACCAGTCTCTCCCCCCCCAGCTCAGCAGGAGCCGGGGCCACTCCACAACTTTACACCTATGTGAATCCCTCGTCCTCCACCACAGCGACGACTCTCTGCCTACAAGAGAGAGACGTCAACAGGCTCTTCAAGAGGCAGAACCCCTACAAAGCAGCCGGACCAGTCTCTCCATCCACCCTGAAGCACTGTGCTGACCAGCTGTCTCCGGTGTTCACAGACATCTTCAACACCTCATTGGAGACATGTCATGTGCCAGCCTGCTTCAAGTCAACCACCATCATCCCTGTCCCCAAGAAAGCAAGGACCACAGGACTAAATGACTACAGACTTGCCCTCACCTCTGTGGTCATGAAGTCTTTTGAGCGCCTTGTGCTTTCCCACCTGAAAGCCATAAGGGACCCACTCCTGGACCGACTGCAGTTCGCCTACAGAGCCAACAGGTCTCTAGATGATGCGGTTAACATGGCCCTGCACTTCATCCTCCAGCATCTGGACTCCCCAGGAACCTACGTCAGGATCCTGTTTGTGGACTTCAGCTCTGCGTTTAACACCATCATCCCAGCTCTGCTACAGGACAAGCTCTCCCAGCTCACTGTGCCTGAATCCACCTGCAGGTGGATCACAGACTTCCTGTCTGACAGGAAACAGCATGTGAGGCTGGTTGAAAAATGTCTCTGACTCCCAGACCATCAGCACCGGTTCCCCCCTAGGCTGCGTTCTTTCTCCTCTACTCTTCTCCCTGTACACCAACAGTAGTGTTGTCACGATACCAAAATTATTGTTTCGATACCGATACCAAGTCAAGAATTGCGATTTCGATACTTTTTCGATACTTTTCTGTAGCAGAAGAAAATGGAAATATTTAAAATATGATGGTGATAAATTTGTCATAACAGAGGATCTAAATAGTTTATGTGTGATAGTAACAATAACTTGTGACTAACTTAGCATCTCTATATGCAGTGGTTATAGTGATAACTGCTAACATTTACTTAACCATAACATTACCATAATTAATAATAGGAAATAATGAGTTAACCTAATGTTATTTAAGCTGTGATATATGGATTAATATAGGCTAATGTTTCCTGTACTTCAATGTCTGATTTCTTTGATGGTTAACTTTATATTTGAGTCCATCATTTCTTACAAGGCGTTTCACAAATACACCTCCTCTGCGGTCTGTGCTCTTTAAATGCTGCAATAACCCATATACATAAATCACTGACAAACATGCACATGCTCTGATTATAATCATATAGCCAATAGATAATTTTAGCTGATGTTTTGTGTGCTTTATTTTAGCAGCTTGCAAATGATTAACGTTATCCGTGAAAGTTGCGTTTTCAGAGATGTTGAATTAGCCGTAGGCAGGCTATTGGTTAGCCATGAGGATAATGCCTATAGTTAGCCTACTATTTCTCTATATAGCATCGTCAAACTACGGTGGTGCAAAATAGTGACTTCTCACAAAATAACCATAGCCTACTCATTTGACTTATTTAAGGGCATGAGCGTGGTCGTGTTATCTTTCACATACTAACCTGTCGGTCTTTAAACTCCTTGTACAACTCGGCGTGCTTGTCGGCCAAGTGTTTCGCCAGGTTCGAGGTGTTTGCTCCCTTTGTTTACATTCGTTTGTAACGTTAGCACTGACGACAAACAGGTCTCAACTTATCGGTAGCTTTGCCCTCACTGTCAGCAAGGTAGTACTTCCATATTTCACTCCTCGCGTCATCTTTTTCTACCAGTCGTGGACCGGCGGCCACAGTATCACTTGTGCTTGCACATGCAGCGATCTCGTTACAGTGTTTGTCACATGACAGCTGCAGCTTCTTTGCTGCATGCGTGAGGAGAAAAAACACAGACGTCCATAGGGAGGCACTGGAAGCATGCGTTGCACACACCAACATGAAATACGACTCTTACAAATCTGGAACGCGGTCATTCTTAAAAGTATCGATACTATTAAATTTAGGAATCATGGCGTTTTTAATTTCCAAGAATCGCGATACTTTTGAAGTATCGGTGCACCGTGCAACACTAACCAACAGTTGCACCTCTTCCTACAGCAGCTGGGGAAATTCAACCTGCCAAAGACGATGATGGTGCACTTCTACACCGCCATCATCGAGTCCATCCTCACCTCATCCATCACCATCTGGTACGCTGCTGCCACTGCCAAGGACAAGGGCAGACTGCAGCATATCATTCATTCCGCTGAGAAGGTGATCGGCTGCAACCTGCCATCCCTCCAGGACCTGTACATCTCTAGGACCCTGAGGCATGCAGGCAAGATTGTGGCTGACCCCTCCCACCCCGGCCACAAACTCTTTGACCCTCTCCCCTCAGGCAGGAGGCTGCGATCCATCAGGACCAAAACCTCTCGCCACAAAAACAGTTTCTTCCCGTCTGCAGCTGGCCTCATTAACAAGGCCCGGACCCCCCACTGTCACTGACTCTCATACCCACCCTGTATATACAGTATGCATTACATTAATGCACTCCCATCTACTGTACAGTTTTCCTATCTTTTCTTATCTTTCTCATCTTTATTTATCTTTTTTTTTTTTTAAAAGTACTTTATTCTTGTGTGATTTTTGTGTGACTTGTATTTTTTTGTGTGATTGTATATTTTAAGCACCCTTGCACCAAGACAAATTCCTTGTATGTGTAAAAACCTACCTGTCAATAAATCTGATTCTGATGAACTTAAGCTTATGAACCCTAACCCTAACCCTTATGAGCTATTGTTATGTAGAAAGTCATACAACTGTTTGGCGACTACTTTCTCCAGAATCTTAGAGAGGATGGGGAAGTTAGAAATCAGTCTATAGTTGGCTAAAACCCCTGGGTCAAGAGTGGGCTTTTTAACAAGGGGTTTAATTACAGCTACTTTAAAGGACTGTGGTATATCCTGATAATAAAGAAAGATTAATCATATCCAGTAAAGAAGTGCCAATTAAGAGTACGACCTCTTTAAGCAGCCTAGTTGGGATCGGGTCTAATAGACAGGTTGATGGCTTTGCTGAAGAAATTACTGAAGTTAACTGATGAAGATTGATAGCAGAAAAACATTCTAAATATATATCTGAGTTTACATTAGTTAATGTTCCTGAACTTGGAGAGCCAGTGATAGCTGTTGATGGCAGTTGGTGATTAATTTTCTCTCTAATAGTAATAATTTTATTATAAAAGAAGCTCATGAAGTCATTGCTACTTAAGTTTATGGGGATATGTGGCTCAATAGAGCTGTGACTCTCTGTCAGCCTGGCTACAGTGCTGAAGAGGAACCTAGGGTTGTTCTTATTTTCTTCTATTAGTGCTGAGTAATAGGCTCCTCTGGCATTATGGAAGGCCTTTCTATAAGTTTTAAGATTATCATGCCAAATTGAGCGATATTCTAATAATTTCGAAGAGCGCCATTTCCTTTCAGATTTCCTTGTTTTTTGCTTCAGCTGGCGGGTTTGGTGGTTGTACCACGGTGCTAGTTTCTTATGTTTTAATAATTTCCTTTTTATAGGAGTGATAGAGTCTAATGTTGATCGTAGTGAGCCTGCAGCACTATTAACAAGATTATCAATATTAGAGGGACTAAAGTTATTTTAGGACTCTGGTTTATCAGAATCAGAATCAGAATCAGAAATACTTTAATAATCCCCGTGGGGAAATAACTTGTGGGGGGGGGGAGAAACAAGAGGAGAGGGGAGGAGAAAAAAAGCAGCTCCCAGACTCTGCTCCTGTAGGGGAGTGCAGTGTGGGACTGTGAAAAAAAACCTCAGCAACATAAACACATATGAGCACACTTTACAACATAAAAACTCAAAACAACTTGCAATGGGGGAGGTGGGAAAGGGGGGTGGAGGCGTACCAGCGCAGACAGGCAGCCACGGCGCACATGGCATTGAACTAAACATTGATGGAATCTCCTCCTTAAATTTAGCTACAGCACTGTCAGATAGACATCTGCTGTAGGAAGTTTTGCCTAATGGCTTATAATCTAATAGTATGAATTCAAAAGTTATTAAATAATGGTCAGATAGGGAAGGATTATGTGGGAAGAATGATGATAATGATGATGGTGATGATGATGATATTGATGATGATGGTGATGGTGATGATGATGATGATGGTGATGATGATGATGATGATGATGATGATAATGATGGTGATGATGATGATAATGATGGTGATGATTACAATGATGGTGATGATGATAATGATGGTGATGATTATAATGATGGTGATGGTGATGATAATGATGATGATGATGATGATGATAATGGTGATGATATTGATGATGATAATGATGGTGATAATGATGATGATTGTTGTTTTAGAGTGCTTAACAAATAAAGTTGGATTGGATTGGATAATGATAATGATGGTGATAATGTATCTTACCGACAGAATATTCTTCATGGTGATAACGAACACGTTGTAGCCAATCAGACAGTCCCAATACACCAGGATGGATCTGACTGGTTTCAGCAGCAGGTCTCCGCCCACCAACAGGAAGTAGAAACACGCCACCAGGTAACCCATACAGAAGATACTGATCCTGGAACAGGAAGTAAAAACGTGTCAGAGGTTATCCCTCATGATTCTGTTTTGAGGAGCACTGATTTTTCCTGTGGCTCTGCCCACTCACCTGGTGGTTCCGGTAATGAAAATGATGGTGAGAACAAACCAGAACATGTAGCTGAAGATGATCACCTTCATCATATCCAGGTAAGACCTGCACATACAGAGATCCAAGGTCAGACAGACAGACAGACAGACAGACAGACAGACAGACAGACAGACAGGCAGGCGGGCAGTGGGTGGAGTTTACCGGCACATCATGAAGTCAGGGACGTTGTTGAGGTGGAGACGTCTGATTGGATCAGTAAGCTGCTGGTCGTCTCCATCCAGCTCATAGTTGTCTCCTGAGAGGATCTGAACAGACGGTTGAAGCTCCTCCTCAAACACCTGCAGCTGCAGAGAGGCTCCGAGGAGGAGCAAGAAATCATCTGAAAGGTGAGAAATAGGAAATCAAATGAAATCAGTTCCATGTTTAACCTCTAAATTCATTCTGCATATTAGATTTTACAAAATGTTTGGGTCAAATTCGAAAATATGTTCCGCCAACATGTGCCACAAGCTTTGCAGTGATGTTAGCTTTGACTTTGGACTCTGTGTTGTGGTGGGTGTCAGTTGTTTGTAGAGGTTAGAAAACTCAATTTCAACAGCACAACAATTATTTGTTTATTTATTCATTATATTATAAATTATTTTACTATTTATTCCAGGATCTTGTTTACGCTGTTTTCCTGCCACCACAAATGTGCAACTTCACATGTAACTGTGACTTCCACCCCAGACTGGTCTGTGCACTCAGATATAAAGAATACACATAATTTTCTTCCATTTAAGAGCTTTTTTTTTGTTCAGTTCAGTGAAATAAATTATGTGATGTTCTCACGATATTCATATTGTTGTTTTAGATAGATAGATAGATAGATAGATAGATAGATAGATAGATACTTTATCCCAAGGGAAATTCAAGTCAATTTATATTGAGGATGTAATAAAATGTCAATCTAAGTGTGCACTGGATGATGATGATGATGATCTTACAGAGGAGGAAGAGTGGGTTTGGTGGTGTCAGGTGGTCAGGGAGGAAGAGCCACTTCACTACATTGGAGTCCATGTTGGAAGACGGAGGTCTCCAGGGATAATCTGAAAATCCAACACAAAGGTTTGACCAGTTTTATGTATTCTGTTTTCTGAATCATCAGCTTTATTCATAATTTTCCTGGTTTAAACCCAAAAACGTACACCAGATTTGTTGCTGTCTGAGACGTCTCGGACATATTAAGCTAATTTAGCACAAACACTTGAAACAGGGTGAAACTGTTAGCCTTTTCGCTCCATGAGCAACATCTATCTTCCAAGATCCCCTTTAATCTTTTCAGTACAAAAGCCATGAAACCTCTGCAAACATGGTTTCTAAACTTTATTGTGTAGATTGTGTAATCTCAACATAGGGAGTTTGTACCTTTACAGACAGCAGGAGGGAACCCGATACACAGCAGGTACTGGAAACACAACAGCCCTGACAGGAAGTAGCAGTACATGGGCCACACTGAGGTGATGCGTTTCCTGCTGCGACGTGATAGGATGGCGATCAGCCCAAAGGCATGGCCTACAGCAAACAGATCCATTCGCTGACCAATCACGTTCACGGCCAACAGGAAGCAAGTCTGAGGAGGAGGACGAGAAGGAGGACGAAGAGCATGGGAATGGTCTTTAAATAGGAAGAGCTTCTTATGTTAATGGGTGTGTAACTCACCTCCAGTCCAAACTTGTAGAAGAAGTAGTTGAGGAAGTACTTAATGCAGCTCAGAATGCTGTCATCCAGGTGACGCCTGGTTATATCATGAAACAGAGTTCTGGTGGGGGGCGGGACTTTGTTACGGCGGAGACGGTAGAGTTCCTGGTGTCTGTAAACGGTCACCTCGAAGGCTAACAGCGCTAACATCATCAGGTTATACTGTAGAGACAGGTTAGCATGATGCTAAATTATCAGAGCTAACACAATCTGGTCATACTGTAGAGATAAGTTAGCGTCAATGCTAGCAGTACTGCAGCCTGATTAAAGTGGGATTGGTTGTGATGTCACTGCTCACCCTCAAGTAATCGAGCAGTTTTCCGTTTGTCTTCCGAAGCCCCACCCACTGGGCGGGGTCAACTGGTCCAGTGTACAAAACAGAGCGAGATAGGTTGGTGCTGGAGTTACCAGGCTGTAGAGAGAGAGACAAGTATGAAATCATTAGTGTGCACGGTACCTAGTCAGCAGTCGACATGGGCAGATGTTTGCCATGATGAGGCACATCTTATTTGATACACAGCACGCTTTTTGTAAGGATATCCTCCAAAAGGAGCTGTTAGGAGTACTACTACTGTCCTCCAACTATACAGACACAAGTCAGATAAAAGGTTGTCACTGGACAACAGTTCACTCTCACTGAATGGAAGCAGTGTTACACAACTAAATGTGATGGGTCAAACATGTGTGAGTAACCCGGGGCAAAAACTTGCTTTAAATTTGGAGTGAACTCAACTTTAGAGACAGACAAAAAGGTATCATAAGGTTGCTATGGTTACCATGGTGCAGTTGGAGGAGTATCTGATTGGTTGGACGACGTTGAGTTGGTACAACATCTTACAGACGGTCACCACACAGGTCCAAACTGTACATACTCCTGACAGAAGGGGGCGCCACGCCCTGCAGGGTAGAGCCATACCCACACACAGAACGAACACCAGGTTAAATACACACACCTGCAGAGAGACAGATAAGAGAGACAGATACGTCAGACAGAAAGACAGACACAGATATCAGAAAGACAGTCTACAGCTCAGAGACCAGACTCTGACCTCCTTCACAGAGACCCAGATGATGTAGGAGGAGACGATCTTGACGATGTGTAGTTCCAGGAGCCACCAGAGGAGGTGCTGCAGGCGCTGCAGGGACAGGAGGAGGCGCAGGAACAAAACAGAGAGACGATCCACCACTAACCTCCAGGAGACAAGCACTGAGGAGGAGGAGACACCAAGAGTCTGCTTCCTGTTTGAAACTCAACTATTCAAGTGTTATCATGATGATGCAGTGTGTTTTACCTGTAATGCGGTCAGACAGGGTTTCTCTATCAAACATACAAGGGTACTCCTCCTCCATCTCTTCCTCCTCACTTATCCACTTCTTGTCTGTCTCTTCCGCTCTCTCCCTCTGTCCACCTCTCTTCTCCTCCTCTAGGAGAAGTTGAGGAGGTCCACTCACTGACAGATCAAACAGGCTGCCATCAGAGTGGACCAACCTGCAGAGAGAGAGACAGGTGGGCACAGGTGACAATCAGCGGGACAGTCACACCTCCTTCAGGTATGGAGGGAAGAGCCGCAATTTATTCCGTTATCACACTTTTCAAATAGAGTAGGTCTAGACCATACATACAAATAACTTCCTTTTACAGTTTTTTCCAATTGCTAAAACACAATTTTGCAAACTAGGCTGGTTTTTACGGAAGCAGTAAAAATGCTTGATATTAAGTATGTTTTTTATTCATCATGGGCGCATGAAACACTTTAATGAAACATATTTTATTTTAAATGTAGGTTCGAATTATAGCTTACTGTTCTTAATACCTTTATTTTGAAAACCGGAAGTGAATACGCTGTTTCTCCTAGGGACTAGTTACAAAGGTCTGGGGACTACTTACAAAACTCTGGGATTACAGGTCTTTGGACCGTGTGTTACCTGGTGATGGTGCTGTTGTGTGTGTCCACCACAGTCTTCAGGTCGGTAAGCTGCAGGAACGGCTCATGGAAGTAATGCAGGTGTACGATACACACCTGCAGGAAAATCAGTCAAGAGTCAACTTTTACTGAAAGAAAAGAAATCGTCAGACTGAACTGAATGATGTTTTGAAGGAAGTTGTTTGAGTACCAGGAGGAACGCTGCAGGGATGAATATCTTAGTGAAGAGAACGGGAACTGAGAATTTCTCCAAACCAACATCCTCCAACCTGGAAAGACAGTAGAAACATTAGAGACATTAGAAACATGAGAGACGTTAGAGACATTAGAGAGAGTAGAGACATTAGAAACAGTAGAGACATTAGAAATATTACAGATATTAGAGACATTAGAGACATTAGAGACATTAGAGACATTAGTGACATTAGAGACTTTAGACACAGTAGAGACATTAGAGACTTTAGAAACAATTCAATTCAATTCAATTCAATTTTATTTGTATAGCGCCAATTCATAACAGAAGTTATCTCAGGACACTTTTCAAATAGAGCAGGTCTAGACCGAACTCTTTAACATTAATTACAGAGACCCAACAGTACCACCATGAGCAAGCACTTGGCGACAAGGGCAAGGAAAAACTGCCTGTTAAAAGGCAGAAACCTAGGACAGATCCTCCGGCTCTAGGTGGGTGGTCGTCTGTCTCGACCAGTTGGGGTGAGAGAGAGAGAGAGAGAGAGAGAGAGAGAGAGAGAGCGACAGACAGACAGACAGGTGCACAGCAACAACAGTATTGGCAATGGCAGTCAAGCAGGACCATGGCAGGAGGCTCCACCAGGATCCATGAGAACCTGCGAGACGAGAAAGCACAAGAACTCCGGGGAAGAAGTGGAGTTAGTAACATGCATTAAAGGGACATGAATGAGTGCAGAAAGAGAGAGGAAGAGAGTATCTCAGTGCACCATGGGAAATCCCCCCGATAGTCTAGGCCTATAGCAGCATAACTAAGGGATGGTTCAGGACTCACCTGATCCAGCCCTAACTATAAGCTTTATCAAAGAGGAATGTCTTAAGCCTACTCTTGAATGTGGTGAGGGTGTCTGCCTCCCGAACCACAACTGGAAGCTGGTTCCACAGGAGAGGAGCTTGGTAACTGAAGGCTCTGGCTCCTGTTCTACTTTTAGAGACTATAGGAACCACAAGTAGCCCAGCATTCAGAGAACGTAGTGTTCTAGTGGGGTAATAGGGTACTATGAGCTCTTTAAGATATGAAGGGGCCTGACCATGAAGAGCTTTATAGGTGAGGAGGAGGATTTTAAATTCAATTCTACATTTTATAGGGAGCCAATGCAGAGTAGCTAGTACAGGAGAGATGTGATCTCTTTTTCTAGTTCCTGTCAGTACTCGTGCTGCAGCGTTCTGAATTAATTGGAGCAGACACAGTAGATACGTTAGAGACATTAAAGACATTAGAGAAATTAGAAACAGTAGAGACATTAGAGACATTAGAAACAGTAGAGACAGTAGAGACTTTAGACACAGTAGAGACATTAGAAACAGTAAAGACATTAGAGACATTAGAGACAGTAGAGACATTAGAAACATTAGACACATTAGAGATATTAGAGACTTTACAGACATTAGAGATATTAGAGACTTTACAGACATTAGAGGCATTAGAGACATTAGAGACATTATAAACAGTAGAGACTTCATAAACATTAGAGACATTAGAGACATAAGAGGCATTAGAGACATTAGAGACCTGTGAGTGCTGAGTCCACTGTAGTAGCTCCAGGTGTGGGGGGATGAGGGGAACTGGAATGTGTAGACCAGGATGAGAACCAGCATTGAGTAAACCACCACAGCTACCCAGAAACCCCTGAGCAAGGCACGCCAACGCTCGTAGTTCAACTACAGAAAGACAGATAAAGAGAGACAGAGATTCCACATTCAATCATAATGGATGAGTTCATGACCTGAGATTCAAAACTTCAGACTAACTGGTCTAAAGTCTACAGTAGTAGTACCTGCAGTAGTAGCACAAACAGTAGTAGTACATATAGCAGTAGTAGAAAAAGTAGAACAAGAGCCAGAGCTTTCAGTTACCAAGCTCCTCTCCTGTGGAACCAGCTTCCAGTTGTGGTTCGGGAGGCAGACACCCTCTCCACATTCAAGAGTAGGCTTAAAGGGGAACTTCGGCAGATTTTAGCCTAGTCTTGATCACTAGAGGTCACCGAGTACTGTCGATAGGAAAAAGAACGACCAGAATTGGTTCTAGCAAACTGGAGATCCTGCAGCTAATGGCCAGAGCTCCCAGTTAGTTATAATAATTACTTCTTGGGGGCATATCCTAAAGAGTGCCTCTTGCACCTCTTAACAGACACAAAATGCAATTAAAATGTCTGTGCAACATGATCAGGGCCCTTACGTGACAACAATATGCCTTTTCAACTCATACGTTGTGCAGAAACCGTACAAAACAGTACTGTCGCCTACCTGTTTTTCCACCGCTCGCTTCACCAAAAGCCCAGAATAATCGATCACGGAAATAATGCCTTCACGACGAAAAAAAGTTTATTTCCCCCTCAAAAATGTCCATGTCTTCACACACTACTCTCCGATTTGCACACTTCCTGCAACAATTTCTTCTTCTGCGTTTACCTGCAACAAGTGAAATCCCACAGGACTTCAGCGCGAGAGCAGTCTGAAGCGCTGAAGTCCCGTGGGATAAACGCAGAAGAAGAAGAGATTGTTGATCAGAGGTGTTCACAAGGGAAGAAGCTTGGAGTAAGAATAACGTGTGTTGTTGATCTACTGTGGAGAAGAAATGGTTCGCATTTGTGCCTTTCCAAATGGTGGCAACATAATGAGAAGGTACAAGTGCCTACACTTTCATCGTCTACCTTTCCATGACCATGAGATACTGCAGTTGTGGCTAGTTGTTCTTCAGCTGGATGTGCACGAGCACGAGTACTGACAGGAACTAGAAAAAGAGATCACATCTCTCCTGTACTAGCTTCTCTGCACTGGCTCCCTGTAAAATGTAGAATAGAATTTAAAATCCTCCTCCTCACCTATAAAGCTCTTCATGGTCAGGGCCCTTCATATCTTAAAGAGCTCATAGTACCCTATTAATTCAATTCAATTTTATTACTACGTGGGGTAATAGTAAAAACACTACGTTCTCTGAATGCTGGGCTACTTGTGGTTCCTATAGTCTCTAAAAGTAGAACAGGAGCCAGAGCCTTCAGTTACCAAGCTCCTCTCCTGTGGAACCAGCTTCCAGTTGTGGTTCGGGAGGCAGACACCCTCTCCACATTCAAGAGTAGGCTTAAGACATTCCTCTTTGATAAAGCTTATAGTTAGGGCTGGATCAGGTGAGTCCTGAACCATCCCTTAGTTATGCTGCTATAGGCCTAGACTATCGGGGGATTTCCCATGGTGCACTGAGCTCCTCCCTTCCTCTCTCTTTCTGCACTTATTCATGTTCCATTAATGCATGTTACTAACTTCACTTCTTCCCCGGAGTTCTTGTGCTTTCTCGTCTGGAAAAGTGTCCTGAGATAACTTCTGTTATGAATTGGCGCTATACAAATAAAATTGAATTGAATTGAATTGAATGTGCAAACTCCCATACAAGTACAATGCGATCACGGAGATAATGCCTTCGCAACGAAAAAAAGTTTATTTCCCCTCAAAAATGTGTTGCCGCACATCCCTTCTCAAGCCGTGTCTGCCAAAACGAAGCTAAATGAAGTAATGAATATAACATTACCTCCACAGTGGTTGCAGCAGTCTTCATCCTCGGAATGGCATTTCTCTTCAGCCGGCCCCGCTGTGTTGTGTCTCTGTAGTCATCCTCCTCAAAATGTTCGCTGCGAATGCGGTGATCATTTTCGCATAGTACTTGTATGGGAGTTTCCACATCCAGCTGAAGAACAACTAGCCACAACTGCAGTATTTCATGGTCATGGAAAGGTAGACGATGAAAGTGTAGGCACTTGTACCTAGTAAACAAAGTTGCAGTGTTCCGGTGGAAGCGGCATAATAAAAACAACCCGTAGAAAAGCTATGTGCGCAGGCGCGAAAGTTTTTAACTTTCTTCACTTTTATTCTCTTTTGTTCTTTCTTGTTTCTTCACTGTAACTCTGTGAAGTCCTGTCCTCTCTAACGAGGTTGTTTTCAGAGAGGAGGAGGGTCGAGACGGGACGGGCTTATGGAGAGGGTCCCTTAACAACAAAATGGACGAGCTAACGGTGCTGACACGGAGCCACCCGGAGTACCGTGAGTGCAGTCTGATGTGTTTCACTGAGACATGGCTGCACAGGGACATTACGGACCAGGTCGTCTCCTTGGATGGCTTCCACACCGTCCAGGCTGAAATCCCATGGGATTTCACTTGTTGCAGGTAAACGCAGAAGAAGAAATTGTTGCAGGAAGTGTGCAAATCGGAGAGTAGTGTGTGAAGACATGGACATTTTTGAGGGGGAAATAAACTTTTTTTCGTCGTGAAGGCATTATCTCCGTGATCGATTAGTCTGGGCTTTCGATGAGGCGAGCACAGGAAAAACAGGTAGGCGACAGTACTGTTTTGTACGGTTTCTACACAGCGTATGAGTTGCAAAGGCATGTTGTTGTCACGTAAGGGCCCTGATCATGTTGCACAGACATTTTAATTGCATTTTTTGTCTGTTAAGAGGAGCAAAAGGCACTCTTTAGGATATGCCCCCAAAAAGTGTATTATAACTAACTGGGAGCTCTGGCCATTAGCTGCAGGATCTCCAGTTTGCTAGAACCAATTCTGGTCGTTCTTTTTCCTATCGACAGTATTCACTAGTAGTGACCTCTAGTGATCAAGACTAGGGTAAAAATCTGCCGAAGTTCCCCTTTAAGACATTCCTCTTTGAAAAAGCTTATAGTTAGGGTTGGCTTAGGTGAGTCCTTAACCATCCCTTAGTTATGCTGCTATAGGCCTAGACTATCAGGGGATTTCGCACGGCGCACTGAGCTCCTCTCTTCCTCTCTCTTTCTGCACTCATTCATGTTCCATTAATGCATGTTACTAACTTCACTTCTTCCCCGGAGTTCTTGTGCTTACTCATCTCGCAGGTTCTCATGGATCCTGGTGGAGCCTCCTGCCATGGGCCTGCTTGACTGCCATTGCTAATATCACTGATATTAGTGTTATTATTATTATAATTAGGGACCGAGCACTAAGAAGTGCAAGGACCCTATTGTTCCTCTAGGAATTATTATTATACCTCTGGGACTTCGACCGCATATTTGGCCCCCGCAACATGCTCAAAATGCCATGAAAATTTGCACAAAATTCAAACGTAGCAAAAATACCGACATGACATTGTCCCCGTGCACGGGCGCCGCCAAACGTCTAAGCCATGCCCCCCAGAATCAGCCCCCAAGACACGTAAGGCCCACATGTACGAAAATTGCTACGCATGTGTATCATGATACAACAAGCAGAAAAGCCTCTTGGACCCATGCCCCAAAACCCACAGGAAGTCTGCAATTTCAATTTTTAATTTTCATCATTTTGTGGTCATTTTGACTTTTTGGGCTTGTATTTGAACGAACTCCTCCTAGGGAATTTATCAGATCTTCTTCAAAATTAGTCAGTACAGTCAAAAAATGGTGCTGAATGAACGCTGTTCAATTTGTAACTGTACGTTAAAGGGCATGTCCGTGGCGTGCCGTCAAAGTTGGCCATTTTTAAGTCTGTGGTCATTTTCGGTGAATTTTTGCCTTGCATTTGAACGAACTTGTCCTAGGGAATTTCTGGGATCTGCTTCAAAACTTGACAGTACTCTTGAATAATGTTGCTGATTACAAGTTGTGCTATTTATGACTGTACGGTGAAGGGCGTGTCCGTGGCGTGCCGTCAAAGTTGGCCATTTTGAACGAATGTCACACTGTGATGTCCTTTTAGGCATTTCAGGGCTTCTATTTTAACTAACTCCTCCTACAGGTTCTATTGGATCTACTTCAAAATTGGTCAGTGCAGTCAGTTTTTTTCGTCCAACATTGTGCCCGTGGCGTGGCGTGCCGTGGCATCCAATTTCAAACCTTCGCCATGAAAGAGGGATTCGTCATAACTTCTGCGTACATGATCCGACTGCAACGAAACTTCACATGTTTGATAAGAGTCCCGCCCTGAACACGTCAATGTGATAATATTCGGTAATAGTCAGAGCGCCACCTAGTGGCAACAGGAAGTATCACGTTTTATACTTTCATGTTCTACTCCTAGCAGGATGATCAGATCCAGCTGAAATTTACTTATAAAATGCAAAACACATTGTTGATGATATGTGATGACTGCGGTGAGGGGGCGTGTCTGTAGTGTGGCGGGAAATGTTGATGTATCGCCACGAAACACGAATTCGCTATAAATTGAGTGTACATTGTCCAATCGGCTCCAAACTTCACATGTCTGATAAGAGTCCCGCCCTGAACACGTCTATGTGATAATATTCAGTAAAAGTGAGAGCGCCACCTAGTGGTGAAAGGAAATGTCATTTTTTTATACTTCCATGTTCTACTCCTAGTAGGATGATCAGATCAAGCTGAAATCTAGTCAGAAAATGGAAAACATGTTCTTGATGATATTTCTTGATTGTGGTGAGTTTTTGTTACAGGGCGTGTCCGTGGCGTGGCGTCAAACTTTGATGTACCGCCAGAACACACAAAGTTGCTATAACTTGAGTGTACATTGTCCAATCGGCTCCAAACTTCACATGTCTGATAAGAGTCCCGCCCTGAACACATAGTGAAAGCGCTACCTAGTGGCAACAGGAAGTAAGTGCTGCATGGCGATTTTGAGCTGATTTACGTGAGATTTTCATGTCGTGGTCCGCACGTGTTACGACGGCACGTGGCGCGGCCGCAGCACGCCCCGAGTTGCGTGGAGTGCGAGGTCCCGTCCATCGCTGCTTGCAGCTTTAATTATTATTATAGCTACGGTTACTGTTGTTGCTGTTGTCACTGCTCATTGTCCCCCATCGTTGCTGTTGTCATGTTCATCATCATCAGTCACTACTATTAGTGTAGTTGTTGCTACTGTTGCTGCTGTGCACCTGTCTGTCTGTCTGTCTGTGTCTCTCTCTCTCTCTCTCTCTCTCTCTCTCTCTCTCTACCCCAACTGGTCAAGACAGACGACCACCCACCTAGAGCCGAAGGATCTGTCCTAGGTTACTGCCTTTTAACAGGCAGTTTTTCCTTGCCCTTGTCGCCAAGTGCTTGCTGATGGTGGTACTGTTGGGTCTCTGTAAATAATGTTATAAGGAGTTCGGTCTAGACCTGCTCTATTTGGGGTCCTGAGATAACTTCTGTTATGAATTGGCGCTCTACAAATAAAATTGAATTGAATTGAATAGTAGTACATACAGTAGTAGTACATACAGCAGTAGTACATACAGTAGTAGTACCTGCAGTAGTAGTATATATAGTAGTAGTACCTGCAGCAGTAGTACATATAGTAGTAGTACCTGCAGCAGTAGTACATACAGTAGTAGAACCTGCAGTAGTAGTATATATAGTAGTAGTACCTGCAGCAGTAGTACATATAGTAGTAGTACCTGCAGCAGTAGTACATACAGTAGTAGTACCTGCAGTAGTAGTATATATAGTAGTAGTACCTGCAGCAGTAGTACATATAGTAGTAGTACCTGCAGCAGTACATATAGTAGTAGTACATATAGTAGTAGTACCTGCAGTATTACCTGGTATAAAGCCACGCAGCAGAGGAACATGACCATGTAGATGACTTTGTAGAGGACAATTTTCCCCTCGAAACTAACGAAGAAGAACATCGTCCCACAGACGTAGATCCAGTATTTAACAAACATCCTGGTAATGACGGCAACCAGAGCCTCCATCTTAACTCCTCCTCCTCCTTCCTGCAGGAGCAGCACTTCCTCATATGACACCTCCGACTCCTTCTTCTTCTTCTTCTTCTCCTGCACATCCTCATCTGCCCTCTGCTCCTCTGGAGGCCACACAAAACCACAGACAGGTGACTTGTCAGTGAGGCAGGTGAGTTCTCAGTGAGATAGGTCTCCGGTCAGTGAGACAGGTGTCTTACCTTCTGTGTGGACAGTGATGGTAGACAGCTGTATACCCGTCTGTCTGTCGTTCTGTCTGTCTCGCTTCTCAGTGAGTGCCTGACGCAGCAGCAACCAGAAGGTCAACAGACACAACAACTGCAACAACAGGTGATCAATGACACGTTATATTCAGGTACAGCTACTAGTACAGGTAGTAAAGGTAGTAAAGGTAGCACAGGTACTACAGGTAGTACAGGTAGTACAGGTAGTACAGGTAGAAAAGGTACTACAGGTAGTACAGGTAGTACAGCTAATAGTAGCAGTAGTAGTAGTAGTTATAGTAGTAGTAGTAGTAGTAGTAGTAATAGTAAAAGTAATAGTAGTAGTAGTAATAGTAGTAGTAGTAGTAATAGTATTAATAATAGTAGTAGTAGTAGTAATAATAGTAGTAGTAGTAGTAGTAGAAATAGTAGTAGTAGTAATAGTATTAATAATAGTAGTAATAGTTGTAATAGTAGTAGTAGTAGTAGTAGTAGTAGTAGTAATAGTACTAATAATAGTAGTGATAGTAGTAATAGTAATAGTAGTAGTAGTAGTAGTATTAATAGTATTAATAGTAGTAGTAATAGTAATAGTAATAGTAATAGTAGTAGCAGTACTAGTAATAGTAATAGTAGTAGTAGTAATAGTCATATTAGCAGTGGTAGTAATAGTAGTAATAATAGTATCAGTAGTAACAGTACAGTAGTAGTAGTAATAGTAGTAGTAAAAGTAAAGTAGTAATAGTAAAGTAGTGATAGTAGTAGTAGTAGTAGTAATAATAGTAGTAGTAGTAATAGTATAGTAGTAGTAGTAATAGTAATAGTAGTAGTAGTAATTGTAATAGTAAAAGTAAAGTAGTAATAGTAAAGTAGTAGTAGTAATAGTAGTAACAGTATAGTAGTAGTAGTAGTAGTAGTAGTAATAGTAGTAGTAAAAGTAAAGTAGTGATAGTAAAGTAGTAGTAGTAGTAATAATAGTAGTAGTAGTAATAGTAATAGTAATTGTAGTAATAGTAATAGTCATATTAGCAGTAGTAGTAGTAATAATAGTATAGTAGTAGTAGTAATAGTAGTAGTAGTAGTAGTAATAGTAGTAATACTAGTAGTAACAGTAGTAATAGTATAGTAGTAGTAGTAGTAGTAGTAGTAATAGTCATATTAGCAGTAGTAGTGGAAGTAGTAGTAGTAGTAGCAATAGTAGTAATAATAGTAGTAGTAGTAATAGTATAGTGGTAGTAGTAATAGTAGTAGTAGAAGTAGTAGTAGTAGTAATAGTAATAGTAATAGTCATATTAGCAGTAGTAGTAGTAGTAGTAGTAGTAATAGTAGTAATAGTAGTAGAAGTAGAAGTAGTAGTAGTAGTAGTACCTTGGAAGCGAGCTCCCTGCAGGGATCATCTTTTCTCGGGAACAGTCCCGGGACTTCCTGGACGGAGGGGAAGCTGTAGACGTACTGCAGGATGACTAGCAGGTTGCCGTAGGCGACCAGCCAGGGTGAAGACATCAGCGTGTACCGACGACGTTCTCGCATCATCCAGAGGACACAGGACCAGAGCAGCAGCACACATGTCAACCAAGAAACGTATGTGATGGACCAGGCCATCATGGCGATCAGAGCACAGATGTAACTCTGTTTGAGGAGGAAGCTGAATGCCATGGAGGCAGCACTGACTCCCTCCTCACTGGTCCTTCTCTCCTCCTCCTCCTCCTCTTCCTCCTCCTCCTCCTCCCATCCGTCTCCTTCAAATTCACAAGTCTCCAATGTGTCTGTATCAAATACAGCAGAACAGAACCAGTCAGTCCAAAGGATTGATACATGTATATATATATATATATCTATTGATTAGTATGTCAATGTGATGATTTGTATGATATGTGTATATGTATATATTTTATTTTTTATTTATTTATTGATTGAAAACCAGTGAATTAAAGAAACAAAACGTTATTTTGGGATTGTTTCACAGCCGTTACACACACACACACCACCACGGTGACCTCCGCTGGCCACAAACTCACCTGATTGGCTGAGAGAGTAGTGAGGGGTGGAGTTGACATCCAATCCCAGGGCTGTACTCTGGGTGGGCGGGCCAAAAGAGTCAGACAGACTGTCATTGGCCAATGACATCAGTGCCTAGAGACAGACAGGTTTATTGATCACACAATAAACAAATTCACCAGAACCTGATTATTTATCGGAACAGATGACATTGATCACGGATCATTGATGATATTAACGTACGTCTCTGCACTCGGGTCGATCATGAGCTCTCCTCCACAGCTCCCTCCGCCTCGCCGCTGTGATGTCACCGCTGACCTCATCACACAGGTTGCTGGTGGCAGTTATGATGTCACAGCTCTCACTGACCACTGACTCCAGCCTCTGTACGGGCCGTCCCCCATCACTGTGAATCAGCTGCAGAAACACGATACAGCCAGCCGTCAGCCAATAGGAGCAGAGGGAAACGTGAGTCAGGACGTCATACAGTGACATGACATTGCCATCACCTGGTTTCTCCAAAGACTGGCCACAGTGTTGTAGAGCAGCAGGAGCATCAGAGGACTGCTGAAGTGGAACCAGCTGAGCTCAGAGTTCACCTGCAGCCTCCAGGGGGCAGCGCAGTCCACCGATACCACCGAGACCAGCCCGAACACACTGCGTGGGAATCAATCAATAATCAATTATTACACTGAGACCAGGCCAGGTGTGTTACCTGTTGGAGGTGTGTGTTATGGTGGAGGTGTGTTACCTGTTGTAGGTGTGTTACCTGTTGGAGGTGTGTGTTACGGTAGAGGTGTGTTACCTGTTGGAGGTGTGTGTTATGGTGAAGGTGTGTTACCTGTTGGAGGTGTATTACCTGGTAGAGGTGCGGTTTGGAGGCCATGCCTCCTGCAGGGAGGGAAGCTGGTAGCAGTAGACGAGCAGGAAGTGGGAGGAAGAGTAGAGCATTGACATCAGAGACACACACCTGAAGAGGAGGGGTGGGACCTGACCTGACCACGCCCACCATGTACACAACACCTGGAAACAGAGGAGGTAAAGGAGGGAGGAGAGAGAGGGCAAGACAATCCCTGGAGGAGAAAGGAGAGAGGAGAGATTACCTTTCTTTCAAGCAACAGCGCCTCCTCCCTCCTCTACCTGTCTGCTGTTACCTGTCTGCTGTTACCTGTGAGTCCCAGTAGAGCCGTCAGCAGCACTTTCCCTCCAGTCGTTGTCATGGTTCCCACCATCTGCCTGCTTTTACGAACCAGTAACTCCAGTTCAACCAGAACCCTGTTTCTAGTGCCTTCCTCCTCCTCCTCCTCCTCCTCCTCCTCCTCCTCTCCGAGCACAGAGTCCTCCTCAAGCATCTGCTCCTCCTGCTGCTCCTCCTGCTGCTGCTCCTGCTGCTGCTCCTGCTGTGGAAAAAGAAAGAAACAAGTTCATGACCATGATGGTAAAGTCAGAAATCATGCCTGATGTGGACTCTCTCTGGAGTCGGGTGCCCGTCCTACCCCCATGCGGGCTCTGGTGACCTCTGGCGGACCGCAGCCAACCCGCCAGACTCCTTTCCCTTCCTCACAATATACAGTGCTTTGAAAAAGTATTTGCCCCCTTTCTGATTTCTTATTTGTTTGCAGATTTGTGTTTCAGATCATCAAACTAATTGTAATATTAGACAAAGATCACCCAATTAAATACAAAATGCAGTTTTTCAATGATTTTATTTACAAAGGGAAAAAAGTTATCCAAACCTACCTGGCCCTATGTGAAGAAGTAATTGCCCCCTAAAGCTAAAAACTGGTTGTGAAACCCTCGGCAGTAACAACTGCAATTTTGCGATAACTGGCAATGAGTCTTTCACATCACTATGGAGGAATTTTGGCCCACTCTTCTTTGCAGTTGTTTTAATTCAGCCACATTGGAGGGTTTTCAAGCATGAGCAGCCTGTTTAAGGTCATGCCACAGCATTTCAATCGGATTTAAGTGTCATGGCTCTGCTCCCCTCCTGCTCCCTTTGCTCCTCTTCCTTTCCTGTGTGTCTGATGAGGGTGCGGCCTCCATTCTCCTCACCTGCTCTCAATCATTCATCATGCCTCAGTCTTCAAGAACCCCGGTCTTCCTCCCAGTCATCGCCAGATTGTTTCAGCCTATGTGGTGGTAACTCTCGTGGCTCCCTTCAGTATTTAGTTAAGCAATTCAAGCTCTCTTGTGATTTTCCCTGTGCCAGTTCCCCAGCTAACCATTTCTCTCCCGTGCCCCAGGGTCCCTTTGTGCAGTTTGGCTTCCTGTGTCTGCTCACTTGTGCCTCTGTGTCCCCGGTCTCTTTCGCCATTTCACCCGCCCGTTCCTGCTGTGGCCGGCCCTCATCCCCCCTGTGAGTGTGTGTGCGTGGAATAAAACTCCTTTAAACCTTCCATACTGTTAGTGACAGAACAATCTGGCCAACATGGACCCAGCGGACCCAGACTCCGTCCGAAGCGCACTGGCCTACCAGGGACAACGAGTGGGCCAACACGAGCAGGTCCTCGACGAGATCGTGGCAGCCATCCAAGACCTTTGCTGCAGTGTGGCCGCCCTTGGTTCCAAGCTCGATCAGGTCTCCACCCCTCCCACAGCTCCTACCACCGCCACTGAAGCAGCTACTCCCTCTGCCTCTCCGGCCATGCAGCATGCGGCTCCTCCTCCCCCCCCACCCCGGGAACCACACGTTCCTACACCTGAACAGTATGCTGGGGATTTGGGGGCTTGTGGGCGGTTTCTGCTTCAGTGCTCGCTAGTTTTCCAACAACAGCCGTTGACCTACAGTTCAGATAGCGCCCGAGTGGCTTTTGTGATTAGCCTATTGTCTGGGAAAGCAGCTCAGTGGGCAACCGCCCTGTGGGAGAAGCACTCCCCTATTTGTGATACCTTCCAGCGATTTTCTGATGAATTAAGAAAGGTTTTGATCATCCAGTGCAAGGCAAAGAGGCAGCTAAGCGTTTACTGAATCTTTGTCAGGGCTCTGGTTCAGTAGCCGAGTTCTCAGTCGAGTTTAGAGTTTTAGCGGCGGAGAGTGGTTGGGGTGAAGAGGCGTTACAGACTGTTTTCGTGCATGGGCTGTCTGAGGTTATGAAAGACGAGTTAGCGGCTAGGGATAGCGCTGCTAGCCTTGACGAGCTAATCTCTCTAGCGATTAGGCTTGACAATCGCCTTCGTGAGAGACGGCATGAGAAGCGGGGGCGCCCACAAGCCTCTCCTTTCCATGCCCTACCCAGAGCCACCACCTCGGTAGGTTCCCAGCTAGCAGCCCCATCCAAACGCCCCTCAAGCCAAGTACCCCCCGAGCCCGTAGAAGAGCCGATGCAATTGGGTCGCACCCACCTCACTCAGGCAGAACGCCGGATGAGGTCCGGGTTATGCATTTATTGCGGCCAGCACGGTCACATCTTGGCTGCCTGCCCCCAGCTGCCAAAAGATTAGGCTCACCGGAGAATGGTGGTACTCCTGTGAGCCAAGTCCTCACTTCCACCTCAGCCCCTCTTAGTCGCTTGCAATTAAAAGCGTCCCTTCGCTGGCAGTTAAATTCCCTTCCCCTCACAGCACTAGTCGACTCAGGTGCCGAGGAGAGTTTCATTGACTCAGCATTCGTGCTTCAGGCAAACATTCCCACTATCAAACTCCCTGACAACCAACCCGTTAATGCCTTAGACGGGAAACATTTAGCTAACATTACTCGGCAAACCGTCCCTCTCACACTTATCCTTTCTGGTAATCACCGTGAGGAGATTAGTTTACTGGTTATTTCATCACCCAACACTCCTGTTGTATTAGGCTACCCCTGGCTGAAACTTCACAATCCCCAATTCAACTGGTCTACTTGCTCACTCATTAGCTGGAGTGCTCACTGTCATTCACATTGTCTCCAGTCCGCTAGTGTAACACCTCCCACTGTTCCCAAACCTCCCGAGCCCCCTGATCTATCTGCCGTCCCTGTAGAATACCACAACTTAGGGGAGGTTTTTAGTAAGCATCGTGCCGTCTCATTACCTCCTCATAGGCCATATGATTGCGCCATAGAGTTGCTCCCTGGTTCCACTCTGCCGTCTAGTCGCCTGTATAACCTTTCCAGACCTGAGCGCGAGGCCATGGAGAAATATATAGGTGACTCACTAGCGGCAGGGCTTATTCAACCCTTTTCGTCGCCGGTAGGGGCTGGTTTCTTTTTTGTAACTAAGAAAGACCAGTCCCTCCGCCCTTGCATTGATTATCGAGGGCTTAATGACATCACCATTAAGAATAAGTACCCTCTCCCTCTCATTGATCCGGCGTTTGAACCCCTTCATAAGGCTAAAGTGTTATTATATAAATTAGACCTCCGGAACGCATACCATCTTGTCAGGATCAGAGAGGGAGACGAGTGGAAGACTGCCTTTAACACCCCTTTAGGCCACTTTGAATATTTGGTGATGCCCTTTGGATTGACCAATGCGCCAGCTGTGTTCCAAGCCATGGTCAATGACGTGCTGAGAGACATGCTGAACAGGTTCCTGTTCGTCTATTTAGATGACATACTCATCTTTTCTCAGTCCCAGGAGGAACACGTTCAGCATGTCCGGCAGGTACTCCAGAGACTCCTTGAGAATAAGCTCTATGTGAAAGCCGAGAAATGCAAGTTCCATGTGACATCCGTGTCTTTTCTGGGGTTTATTATTGAGCGGGGGCAGGTTAAGGCTGACCCAGCCAAGATTCAGGCCGTGGCTGATTGGCCGAGACCCACCACTCACAAACAGTTGCAGCGCTTCTTGGGGTTTGCTAACTTTTACCGCCGCTTTATTAGAAATTATAGTAAGGTAGCAGCCCCCCTGACTAAGCTCACCTCGGTGAAAGCACCGTTCGCCTGGTCCCCTGAAGCAGAAACCGCTTTTCTAGCCCTGAAAGAGCTATTTACTTCTGCCCCGGTGCTGCGGCATCCTGACCCCTCCCTCCAGTTCGTGGTGGAGGTGGATGCCTCTGACACTGGCATTGGGGCAGTACTCTTCCAGCGATCCCCCAAGGACCAGAAGTTGCACCCCTGTGCCTTCCTCTCCAGACGCCTGTCCCCAGCGGAGAGGAACTATGACGTTGGGAACCGAGAGCTGCTGGCGGTGGTGGTAGCCCTTCAGGACCCCGAGACGCCGGGGACTGAACCAGAGACCATCCTCCCGGCTTCTCATGTGGTGGCTGCAGTGAACTGGCGGATAGAGGCTCTGGTGAAGCAAGCTCAACACTCACAACCTGACCCAGGTAACGGCCCCCCTAACCGGCTTTTTGTTCCAGACTCAACCAGGTCCCAGGTCCTCCAGTGGGCTCACTCTTCTAAGATCTCTTGCCATCCTGGTTACCAGCGAACACTGGATTTCCTACGGCGGACATTTTGGTGGCCATCCATGGCGAGAGAGATGAGAGCCTTTGTAGCCGCCTGTTCTGTCTGTGCCCGCGGGAAATCCTCCCACCAGCCGCCAGCTGGACAATTACACCCCTTGCCTGTTCCAAGTCGCCCCTGGTCCCACATCGCCCTGGACTTTGTTACTGGACTGCCTACCTCTGAAGGTAATGACACCATTCTCACTGTTGTTGACCGTTTTTCTAAGTCTGTGCATTTTCTGCCTCTGCCCAAGCTCCCCTCGTCCCTAGAGACTGCCAAACTCCTGGTCACCCATGTGTTCCGCCTACATGGAATCCCTCAAGACCTAGTTTCAGACCGTGGTCCACAATTCGCCTCCCAGGTTTGGCGAGCCTTCTGCCAGGCCTTGGGCGCTTCTGTCAGTCTCTCCTCAGGTTACCACCCCCAATCCAATGGCCAGACAGAACGGGCTAACCAGCAATTGGAGGCTGCCTTGCGCCGTGTCGCCACCCAACATCCAGTCTCCTGGTGCACATTTCTTCCGTGGATCGAATATGCACATAACTCCCTCACCTGTGCTGCCACAGGTATGTCCCCGTTCATGGCAGCTTATGGTTTTCAACCTCCATTGTTCCCATCTCAGGAAGGGGAGGTGGCGGTCCCATCAGTACAGGACCACCTGCGCCGCTGCTGCCGGATTTGGACTGAGGCTCGTGCAGCCCTGCTACGGACAGTGGCTAGAAACCCACGCCTGGCGGACCGCCACCGACTCCCTGCCCTGGTTTACACTCCTGGTCAGAAGGTGTGGCTGTCTTCCCGAGACCTGCCACTGCAGGGAGAGTCGCGAAAGCTGGCCCCACGATTTATTGGACCTTTTGAAGTGGACAGAATCATCAATCCTGTGGCGGTGAGGTTAAAACTCCCTCCGTCATTACATGTGCATCCTGTGTTTCACGTGTCTCTCCTGAAGCCTCTGTCCTCCAGCCCTCTAATAATAATAATAATAATAATGGTACATGTACAATAATGGTACATGTATTAAATGTAGTTTATTTACTGTACTGGAGGCGAGGCTTAGTGAGTTAGAGGAACGGTACCGCACCACGGAGATATCTTTAGCCGCTATAGTTAGCCAGCCCCCAGTAGCCGGTGCGGTCCGACCGAAGGTAGCTTCTGTTAGCCGTCCTCCGGTAGTTCCCCCGGTAGTTCCCGAGCAGCCGGGAAGACAGGGAGGCTGGGTGACTGAGCGAAGGAAGACTAAAACGCCGAAACCCACAGTTCACCACCAACCCATTCACGTTTCCAATACATTTTCCCCACTCAGCGACACACCCGCTGAGGAACCAACTCTGGTTATTGGCAGCTCCATAGTCAGAAACGTGAAGTTAGGCCATAGTTAAATGTATCCCTGGGGCCAGAGCGGGCGACATTGAATCCTATTTAAAACTGCTGGCTAAAGATAAACGTAAATACAGTAAGATTGTTATCCACGTCGGCGGTAATGACACCCGTTTACGCCAATCGGAGGTCACTAAGATTAATGTGGAGTCGGTGTGTAAGTATGCTAAAACTATGTCGGACTCCGTAGTTTTCTCTTGACCCCTGCCCAATGTGACCAGTGATGACATGTATAGCCGCATGTCGTCATTCCACCGCTGGCTGTCGAGGTGGTGTCCAAACGATGTGGGCTTCATTGATAACTGGAAGCCTTTGTGGGGAAAACCTGGTCTGATTAGGAGAGACGGCATCCATCCCACTTTGGATGGAGCGGCTCTCTTATCTAGAAATATGGCGAAGTTTATTTCTAAAACCTGACAGTCCAGAGTTGGGACCAGGAATTGAACTCAGCTTTCCAAAAAATTTAGTTTATCACAGTTAATTCATGATTGAATGAATGAAGTATATTTTTTGGCCTTTTATTGCCTTTTATTATAGTTGACAGCTTAAGACAGACAGGAAAGGGGGGCAGAGAGAGGGGATGACATGCAGCAAAGGGCCGCAGGTCGGATTTGAACCCTGGGCCGCTGCAGCAAGGACTCAGCCTTGGTACATGGGTAGCCAGCTCTACCCACTGAGCTATCAGGGCACCCTTGGACAGCTTTTTTCCTTTTAATAAATGAAATCATCATTTAAAAACGGCATTTTGTATTTACTCAGGTTATCTTTGTCACATATTAAGATTGATTTGATGATCTGAAACATTTTAGTGTGACAAATATGCAAACGAATAAGAAATCAGGAAGGGGGCAAATACTTTTTCACGGAACTGTATGACTCAACTGCTGTCTGTCTGTCCAGAGAGCAGGCAGACAGACGTATTCAGCTCTCAGTACTTTTGTAGCTTCTACTGAACCTCTGTGGTCTAAAGTTTCTGTCCTGTCTGTCCTTTGAGATATCTTCTGTATTTTACTGTTCACTTTCAGCTGTAGAGGAGTCATGTTAAGTTACTGCTGATGACAACCAACACTTACTTCCTGGTTTTGCTGCTTCGTAATAAAAGTATTGGGTGTTATCAAAATAACTGGAGACTTTTATTGTGAAGTTCCTGTCATATTACAAAGGTTTTCCACCCTAAAACATGTTGTTTGAGCTGTATACTGGATTTTATGACTGAAACACATCAGTGCTGGTTGTAATATTTTAATTTATGGGTTGACGATTTCTCAACATGCCCTCTGTTGTTTTAAATCGGCCTGAAGCAGCAGAAGAGGTTGAGAACATTAACCTCAGTAATAATTTGACCAACAGCCTCCACTGATAAATCAATGAACAACTGATCATCAATGTGTCAGAAATGATCAACATTCAGTGAAGAAAGTGATGCATCCTGGAAGAGAAACTTCTGTTGGTCCACCTGTGGACATCAGCATCCTCAGGAGGAGGAGGAGGATGGAGAGGAGGAGGACTGCTGCTGTCTGCTGGTCTGGTTTCATGTTAACAAACAGACTCTGACAGGACGACTAATAAACTGATTGAACCTGAAATCATTCAACCGTGTGTGTGTGTGTGTGTGTGTGTGTGTGTGTGTGTGTGTGTGTGTGTGTGTGTGTGTGTGTGTGTGTGTGTCTTAATGCAGTCACATAAGCAGATTACAGTTAATAAATAGCTTACTGAGTTACACACTAATAGACAGGAAACCTTGTTAAGAAACATGAGGAGACAACTTAACAAGGTTACACCTGCTTCATTAGTGTGTGTGTGTGTGTGTGTTGTGTGTTACCTCTGTGTGTGTGTCGGCGTTCAGGCTTACGATCAGCCTCCAGGTCAGCAGACCGACGACCAGAACGCCAACATCTGGAAATACCTGTCTCACTGCAGAGCCCGCATCACTTCCTGTCAGACTGATGCAGACAGACAGACAGCATCAGCATCAGAGAGAGAAATATCTATAATCGCTTTTTTATAAGACAGGAGGTTGGTTTCAGAAGAGCAGAGGTTTTGGGAAGGATTGTGGTGGTAGAGCAGGTCAGTGAGGTAGTAGCAAGTAGGTAGGAAATAAATAAATAAAATAATTAAAAACTAGGTGTGTGAAAAAATTCTGTTAATAAAATAACCAATGAAAAATGAATGTTTATAAATTAAAAGGAAATTAAACAATTTCACAACTAAATAAATACATCAAATAAAAAAAAGAAACAAAATAAATCTCTTCAGGTCAACAAATATAATATAAAATGATGACATAAACATGTATAGAAACTACTGTTTGCTGTATGATAGCAGTAATGGAAATATTTTAAGAAAAATTGTTTTGTCTTGTAGTACTTGAATGTTGAAGTGGCCCTCCTATGAGATGATGATACCAGCAAGTCAATTGGAGTTTGAGACCTGTGTGTTAAAAAATGTAAATATTTGTTCTGTACTGTTGTTGTTATCCACTGAATTTAGTGCTGTAGATGCAGGGCAGAGGTTTGTACTATAGATACAAGGCATAATTCAGCGCTGTAGATTCAGAGCAGAGGGGTCTATTGTATATTTGATTAATAGTAACAATAATGATATTATTAATATTAACTTTATTTCATAAGTTTAAGTGAAGTCCAATAATTTTGTGATGCTGCAAATCACACATTGTTATCTTCAGTCTTAATTTCTTCCCTATGTTTTTTGGACCGTTATCTTTTCTGGACGGATATCTTTTGAACGCAGTATTCAATTACAACAGATTTTGGGTCGTATCTTCAGACGTGAATCCCAAACACTTCTCGCTGAGACTCTTCAGAGGCTATGCAGCGGTGGCGGTAGTAGCAGATGCAGTAATCCCACGCATTTTGTTCAGGAATAGAAAATATTGTAGTATTGTAGTTATTAAAGTTTGTTGTGCTTCTTCTGTTGACTGTGAACTGCACTATAGAGAAATGTGAGTGATCAATTATCAATTATCATATATTCTTCATGTGAATGTTTCTGTAAAAAATGACATTACCTTCTCTACGTTTTGGTTCAGACTCTGAAGGTTCAGGTTCAGGACTTGCAGAGGAGGAGTCCTGCTGTGTTACTGTGATCATTGGTGTGTGTGTAGGCGTTTGCAGAGCCATGAAGTCCAGACAGAGAGACTACTGTCTGACACACACACACACACACACACACACACACACACACACACACATACACCCACACACACAAACACACACACACAGTGTACACAGAGTACACACAGAATACACACTGAGTACACACTGCAGTACACAAAGAGTACACAATGTACACACTGCAGTATACAGAGTACACACTGCATTAGACACAGAGTACACTGTACACACTGCAGTACACAAAGAGTACACAATGTACACACTGCAGTATACAGAGTACACACTGCATTAGACACAGAGTACACTGTACACACTGCAGTACACCCAGATTACACAATGTACACACTGCAGTATACACAGAGTACACACTGCATTGCACAAAGATACACAATGTACACACTGCAGTATACACAGAGTACACAATGTACACACTGCAGTACACCCGGAGTACACAATGTACACACTGCAGTATACACAGAGTACACAATGTACACACTGCAGTATACACAGAGTACACACTGTACACACAGAGTACACACTGTACACACGTACACAGTGTACACACTGCAGTATACACAGAGTACACTGTACACACTGCAGTACACCCAGAGTACACAATGTACACACTGCAGTATACACAGAGTACATAATGTACACACTGCAGTACACACAGACTACACACTGTACACACTGTACACACAGAGTACACAATGTACACACGTACACAATGTACACACTGCAGTATAAACAGAGTACACAATGTACACATTGCAGTATACACACTGTACACAATGTACACACTGCTGTACTCCCGTCAGTTTTTCTATCCTGCACATTGTAAATATCTTTCCTGTACAGTTTAGATCTTTCTATCTTTATCTTTATTTATTTGATTTTTATGCACCAATGCACCGGCAGGCAAATTCCTTGTATGTCTAAAAACTTACTTGGCAATAAACCCGATTCTGATTCTGATTCTGAGATACACACATCAATATCCACCGATCAGTAACACTGTGAGATCTGGACTCCCTTACTGGTCCCAGACCAAAAGACTGCTCTGCACTGTTTGTTCTGACCCCTTTCTATCAGGGAACACCCCACAAGAGCTGCAGGTTTGGAGATGTTCTGACCCAGTCATCCATCACAATGTCGTTCTTGTCAAAGTGGATCAGATCCTCACGCTGTCCATTTTTCCTGCTTCTAACACATCAACTCTGAGGACCAAATGTTCACTGTCTGCCTGATATATCCCCCACTGACTGGATGCATATGTTGTATATATATAAGAATGTATAGCTTTAATGTGAATGTTCACATAATAAATAAAGGAAACCCCTGGGTGGAACCAAACTTAAACAAAAGCTTCAGAGAAACAAACTAACCTGGAAACACTTCTTCATTTCTACAGAAACTGATGCTTGACTTTTACAGCAGCTGAGTCAGCAGCACACACACATACACACACACAAACACACAGTGTTCCCAGTTAAATCTTTATTGACTCACATCAAACAAACAAACTGCAGACGTGGTTTACTGTGTGTGTGTGTGTGTGTGTGTGTGTGTGTTGGACTACTGTCTAATGATTCTCTGTATTTTGTAACCACAATTCCCATGATCCTGTGGGAGGGTCCACCCTGTTTTTCCTCTTGTTGTGATGAAAGACAACCCACTGCAGTCAGAACCCACTACAGTCAGAACCCACTGCAGTTAGAACCCAACCACTGCAGTCAGAACCCACTGCAGTCAGAACCAGTGCAGTTAGAACCCAACCACTGCAGTTAGAACCCACTGAAGTCAGAACCACTGCAGTTAAAACCCACTGCAGTCAGAACCGAACCACTGCAGTTAGAACCCACTGAAGTCAGAACCACTGCAGTTAAAACCACTGCAGTCAGAACCCAACCACTGCAGTTAGAACCGAACCACTGCAGTGAGAACCCACTGAAGTCAGAACCACTGCAGTTAGAATGGTAAAGGGTAAATGGACCTGTACTTGTAAAGCGCCTTTCTAGTCTTCCGACCACTCAAAGCGCTTTTACACTACGTGCCACATTCACCCTTTCACACACATTCACTCAGTGATGGCAAAGCCCATCGAACAGAAACTAACATTCATACACATTCACACACCGATGCACGGCATCTGGAGCAATTCGGGGTTCAGTATCTTGCTCAAGGATACTTCGACATGTGGCACCAGGAGCCGGGGATCGAACCCACAACCTTCCGATTAAGGAACGACCCGCTCTGCCTCTGAGCCACAGCCACGCCCGTAGAACCACTGCAGTCAGAACCCAACCACTGCGGTCAGAACCCATTGCAGTCAGAACCCACTGCAACTCAACTCTTATCTTTTATTTTTATTAAGCTCTCCGTTAACTTCCTGTTTAGGCCTCCAATAGTCTCTCTGCACTTCTTTAAAAAATCTTCTCGGACTGAATGGATCAAACTCATTTCACTGCTATCGCTGTAATTACACAGATTGACCACAGTTGGCTTCACAACCTGGTGCTCTATTCCTTGAGGGTTGATTTAATCTGATATTGATAATCTGATAATGATCATCTGATAATGATCATCTTATATTAATCATCTGATTTTAATCATCCGATAATGATCATCTGATAATGATTATCTGATAATGATCATCCGATAATGATCATCTGATAATGATCATATGATATTGATCATCTGATAACGATCATCTGATAATGATCATCTGATATTGATCATCTGATATTAACAGTAAACAGGATGGTATCATTCTTACCTCACCAGACCGAGCTGACCAAGAGCTTTCTGCCACGATGTACCTGCAGACAGACAGGTCATCAATACAGGAGGGAGGCAGACAGTAAAGCAGACAGACTGTGGAGCAGACAGACAGTAGAACAGACAGGTGAACAGACAGACAAGAGAGCAGACAGACAGCTGTCTTACAGTTGGACTCTGGCTGCAGGGTGGCGGTGGTCAGCTGGAAGAAGGACTGCAGTAACAGGAAGAGGAAACTGGAGACACACACTGCCGTCACACAGCGACACATGTTATCTGAAACAAACAGCGCTTTAATTTGAAAAATTGTCAGAGACAGGAAGTGATGTTAAAATGGAGAAGACTGTACCGTACTTTACTGTACTATACTGTACTTTACAGTACTTCACCGTACTATACTGTACTATACTGTACTTTACAGTACTTCACCGTACTATACTGTACTATACTTTACTTGACCTTACTTTACCGTATTATACTGTACTTTACCTTACTTTACTGTACTTTACCATACTTAACCGTACTTTACTGTACTGTCATATAAACGTGTACTTACAATACTAAGGGTATTTTTACTCCACATTTAGAAAATCTACAAGAACACAGGAAGTGATGTCACTCTATTCATTGTGTTTCCTCAGGAAATTACTCACTTCCTGTCCTCACCTGCGTCTGTCTGTGTGGGGGGGATGACACACAGACAGACACACATAACATGTTATTATGATGATGTCAGCACTCTGTTCACTGACTGTGAGACCGAAAGACAGGAAGTGTTCAATCTGATCAGTAATTTATTATTGATTATCTGCTGATATTGAGTCCTGATAATTTTTTCAATTTCAATTCAATTTTATTTGTATAGCGCCAATTCATAACAGAAGTTATCTCAGGACACTTTTCAAATAGAGCAGGTCTAGACCGAACTCTTTAAAACATTATTTACAGAGACCCAACAGTACCACCATGAGCAAGACCTTGGAGACAAGGGCAAGGAAACACTGCCTGTTAAAAGGCAGAAACCTAGGACAGATCCTTCAGCTCTAGGTGGGTGGTCGTCTGTCTCGACCAGTTGGGGTGAGAGAGAAAGAGAGAGAAAGAGACAGAGAGAGAGAGAGAGAGAGAGAGAGAGAGAGAGAGAGAGACAGAGAGAGACAGACAGACAGACAGGTGCACAGCAACAACAGTATTGGCAATGGCAATCTAGCAGGACCATGGCAGGAGGCTCCACCAGGATCGATAAGAACCTGCGAGACGAGAAAGCACAAGAACTCCGGGGAAGAAGTGAAGTTAGTAACATGCATAAATGGAACGTGAATGAGTGCAGAAAGAGAGAGGAAAAGAGGAGCTCAGTGCACCATGGGAAATCCCCCGATAGTCTAGGCCTATAGCAGCATAACTAAGGGATGGTTCAGGACTCACCTGATCCAGCCCTAACTATAAGCTTTATCAAAGAGGAATGTCTTAAGCCTACTCTTGAATGTGGAGAGGGTGTCTGCCTCCCGAACCACAACTGGAAGCTGGTTCCACAGGAGAGGAGCTTGGTAACTGAAGGCTCTGGCTCCTGTTCTACTTTTAGAGACTATAGGAACCACAAGTAGCCCAGCATTCAGAGAACGTAGTGTTCTAGTGGGGTAATAGGGTACTATGAGCTCTTTAAGATATGAAGGGGCCTGACCATGAAGAGCTTTATAGGTGAGGAGGAGGATTTTAAATTCTATTCTACATTTTACAGGGAGCCAGTGCAGAGAAGCTAGTACAGGAGAGATGTGATCTCTTTTTCTAGTTTCTATCAGTACTCGTGCTGCAGCGTTCTGAATTAATTGGAGCAAATTTAATGGACTTATTGGGGAAACCTGATAATAAAGAGTTGCAGTAATCCAGCCTTGAAGTAACAAATGCGTGGATTAGTTTTTCTGCATCTGTCTGTGAAAGGATGTGTCTAATTTTTGTAATATTACGTAAATGAAAGAAGGCAGTCCTAGAGGTCTGCTTCATGTGGGACTTAAATGACAAATCCTGATCAAAGATAACTCCAAGATTCCTGACAGTGGTGCTAGAGGCCAAGGTAATGCCATCTAGAGTAACTATATCTTTAGACAGTGAGTCTCTAAGGTTTTTGGGGCCAAGAACAAGAATTTCGAGTTTAACATCAGAAAATTGCAGCTCATCCAGGATTTTATGTCCTTAAGACATGTTTGTAATTTAGATAATTGATTAATTTCATCGGGCTTGATCGATAGATATAACTGCGTATCATCTGCATAACAGTGAAAGTTAATGGAGTGATTCCTAATAATGTTGCCTAAAGGGAGCATATATAGAGTAAATAGTATTGGTCCAAGTACAGAACCTTGTGGAACTCCATGAGTATTCTCCAAGTATTTATTGAAGATTCATCGTTAACATGTACAAACTGCGAACAATCTGATAAATATGACTTAAACCAGCTTAGTGCGGTTCCTTTAATGCCAATTTGATGCTCAAGTCTCTGTAAAAGAATATCATGGTCAATGGTGTCAAATGCAGCACTAAGATCTAATAATACAAGTACAGAGACAGGTCCATTGTCAGAAGCAATCAGAAGGTCATTATTAACTTTAACCAGAGCTGTCTCTGTGCTGTGATGAACTCTAAATCCTGACTGAAAATCCTCAAATAAACTATTGTTATGTAGAAAGTCACACAACTCTTTGGCGACTACTTTCTCCAGAATCTTAGAGAGGAAGGGGAGGTTAGAAATCGGTCTATAGTTGGCTAAAACCCCTGGGTCAAGAGTAGGCTTTTTAAGAAGGGGTTTAATTACAGCTACTTTAAAGGACTGTGATACATATCCTGATAATAAAGAAAGATTAATCATATCCAGTAAAGAAGTGCCAATTAAGGGAACAACTTCTTTAAGCAGCCTAGTTGGGATCGGGTCTAACAGACAGGTTGATGGCTTCGATGAAGAAATGATTGAAGTTAACTGATGAAGATCGATAGCAGAAAAACAGTCTAAATATATATCTAAGTTTACATTAGCAAAAGTCCCTGAACTTTGAGAGCCACTGATAACTGTTGATGGCAGTTGGTGATTCATTTTCTCTCTAATAGTAATAATTTTATTATAGAAGAAGCTCATGAAGTCATTGCTACTTAAGCTTATGGGGATATGTGGCTCAATAGAGCTGTGACTCTCTGTCAGCCTGGCTACAGTGCTGAAGAGGAACCTAGGGTTATTCTTATTTTCTTCTATTTGATAAGATACTCTATAACACACTTCAGTACATTATCGTTATTATAATCAGTCAGATGTTTATGATTGATGATTGATTAGCTCAGTGTTTGTTGCTTCAGTGCAGTCTGAGTTACTGAATGTCTGTGTCTGTGTTCTGCTGTTTATTGATTACATTAATCAATGACTCTCATTGGATTCCAGTGGGCTGGGCCTTTGTTAGCTCTGTTAGCCTTCTAGCTACATACTGTTTTACATCGAAGTGATGGTGTATTGATCAGTATTGATCAGTATCAATCAATATTGATCAGTGTCAATCAATATCGATCAGTATTGATCAGTATTGATGATATTGATAGCTACCTGAGCTGGAGGAGGTGGAGGTGGGGGGTTGAGGCAGCAGTATTGATCAGTATTGATGATATTGATAGCTACCTGAGCTGGAGGAGGTGGAGCTAGAGGGTTCTGGCAGCAGTATTGATCAGTACTGATGATATTGATAGCTACCTGAGCTAGAGGAGGTGGAGGGTTCTGTCCAGGGGCGGGCTGGGACAATAATTCAGGCCGGGAATTTGATACCATCCCAGGCCACCACCACCCGATTAACGCAAGAGTGAGTTAGGTTGGGCGCCTACTGATGTAAGAGTGTAAAATGATAAAGCAAAGGCTCCACATGCGCCCACACACAACTTTTTCTGTTTCTTTCCCCTACAAAATAAATGTTTCTGTTGTGCTGCAATAACCTGTACATAAATCACATAAACTGAAATATGTTCCTGCTCTGACTCTTCACTGCTGCTGTCCACCACTGCCATGACAGCAGGAGCTCTTGCAGCACTAGTGCTGCTGACTGTGCTGACACTGCTCCCTTCTCCACCTTTGTAAAGAAAAATCCAAAAGCCACCCATAATTTCCCAGCTATTCAAATTCACTAATTGACAATTTTTATATGCATTGGCTATGTTCATATAACAACAAATATGTTCTTAATCTCAATGGGATTTTACCTGGTTTAATAAAGGTTAAATGAAATAATATAATACAAGGATTTCAATATTCATAAAATGTATTATGTTGTGTCTATGTTAGTTAACCATATTCTGAAATTTGCAATATCCTTTGCTACAACTTAAAACATTTGTTTTATTAAGTCAGTTTTAGCCCCATCAGCTTCCACAAAGTGGAACTAACCTCCTCATTAAGCTGGTCGTGCTGGATAGGCTATGGTTGTGCGTCTGTTGTCACCACTAGTGTTTAATGTCTTACCTGCTCCCTTACTGCACTTCGCTGCATCTGTGGCCAGTGTTTTCAGCTTTTTAAGCTTCTCCCTCTCTGATCCACCTTTCCTCTTGGGCTGTTGAGCTCGCTCCATTTTTCAAGCATGTAGAACTACAGGTGCGGGAGCGCAACTTGGTGTGTGTGTGTCTGCATGCAGTGCTGACAGAGAGCTTCAGAAAAAGAGAGGAGGGGGTGTGTTTGTGCCCAACGTTGCTGCTCAGTCTGTGTGAGCTTCAGCGAGGCAGATACCCTAATGAGCCGCGCAACGGATTGTTTATTTGAAAATCAAGCGTGACCCAAACCGAGCCTTTAGTCCTGAACATCGGCAATCGCCGAGCGGGCCAGTTTGGCGGCCAGGCCACCAGGAAATGTCCCGGTGCTCCTGATGGCCAGTCCGCCACTGTTTCTGGCAGCAGTATTGATCAGTATTGATCAGTACTGATGGTATTGATAGCTACCTGAGCTAGAGGAGGTGGAGGGTTCTGGCAGCAGTGGCAGCAGCAGCAGCAGGAGGACGTAGACCAGAGAGAATCCATTATACCGCAACACGCAGGCTGTGAACACATGAATCAATACATCAATCACTCTGTACACTGGTTCATTGATCCACTGCTCAAAATCAGATAACAGGAAGTGTAGAGAAAACTCCAAACTCTCTGTTCAAATGTTCAATTCAATTCAATTCAATTCAATTTTTGGGTGGTCGTCTGTCTCGACCAGTTGGGGTGAGAGAGAGAGAGAGAGGCAGAGAGAGAGAGAGCGAGAGACAGACAGACAGGTGCACAGCAACAACAGTATTGGCAATGGCAATCTAGCAGGACCATGGCAGGAGGCTCCACCAGGATCGACAAGAACCTGCGAGACGAGAAAGCACAAGAACTCCGGGGAAGAAGTGAAGTTAGTAACATGCATTAATGGAACATGAATGAGTGCAGAAAGAGAGGGGAAGGGAGGAGCTCAGTGCACCATGGGAAATCCCCCGATAGTCTAGGCCTATAGCAGCATAACTAAGGGATGGTTCAGGACTCACCTGATCCATCCCTAACTATAAGCTTTATCAAAGAGGAATGTCTTAAGCCTACTCTTAAATGTGGCGAGGGTGTCTGCCTCCCGAACCACAACTGGAAGCTGGTTCCACAGAAGAGGAGTTTGGTAACTGAAGGCTCTGGCTCCTGTTCTACTTTTAGAGACTATAGGAACCACAAGTAGCCCAGCATTCAGAGAACGTAGTGTTCTAGAGGGGTAATAGGGTACTATGAGCTCTTTAAGATATGAAGGGGCCTGACCATGAAGAGCTTTATAGGTTAGGAGGAGGATTTTAAATTCTATTCTACATTTTACAGGGAGCCAATGCAGAGAAGCTAGTACAGGAGAGATGTGATCTCTTTTTCTAGTTCCTGTCAGTACTCATGCTGCAGCGTTCTGAATTAATTGGAGCGTTTTAATGGACTTATTGGGGCAACCTGATAATAAAGAGTTGCAGTAATCCAGCCTTGAAGTAACAAATGCATGGATTAGTTTTTCTGCATCTGTCTGTGATAGGATGTGTCTAATTTTTCTAATATTACGTAAATGAAAGAAGGCGGTCCTAGAGGTCTGCTTTATGTGGGAGTTAAATGACAAATCCTGATCAAAGATAACTCCAAGATTCCTGACAGTGGTGCTAGAGGCCAAGTTAATGCCATCTAGACTAACTATATCTTTAGACAGTGAGTCTCTAAGGTTTTTGGGGCCAAGAACAAGAATTTCGTTTTTTTCAGAGTTTAACATCAGAAAATTGCAGCTCATCCAGGACTTTATGTCCTTAAGACATGTTCAGTAACCTGTTGTTGAGGACCACAGTGGAAATAAACTACTATAACTGTATCCTGTTAAATTAGTGGCAGCATTTGACAAAGTGTACATTTTGAGATGTCAAATCTAGTCACAAGACATTATTAGGGACTGAGCCAGCGACCGCTGGAGGTCCCTATTGTATTTGCTATGTTTCTTATTCTTACCTATTATTATTATTTTTAGCGCCTTTGACTGCATTTTTGCCCCCCTGAACATATATGAAAACTCAATTTTATTTGGCAAAGTGGTCAGGCCTGGTGAAAAATTTGATATTCTATGCGTCGCTTTCGGGTCGGCCACTAGGTGGCGCTACTATCATGAAAAGTGCATTTAGGCTAATAACTCCCGCATCGTTTGTCGCACATTCAAAAACCTTATATCCACGTGTTTGGTAAATGGAGCTGAATCTCCCCATATAGGCCACACCCACTTCCGCCTTAATTTTTCTTCGCCAGAGTGCGAAATGTCCATGAACTACTTTTTCGTGGTCCTCCTATGCACTTTGTCCGATTTGCACAAAATTTTTCACGTACGATCTGGGGACTGTCATAATAAAAAAGTAATTTGAAGTATTTTGATATTTAAAAAAATAAGCACGTTATAAAATTAGCACATCCTGCAGATTTTTCGTCAAAAAAGGAAGTGGACCATTTCTCCACATTGGTATGTCCGATTGACACCAAGCTTGGGTCCATAGTTCCTCATGTCTTCCTTAGGCATCATGCACAATTAGCTCACATAGTTCCCCATGTCTTCCTTAGGCATCATGCACAATTAGCTCACATACCAAAAATCATGTTTGTTGTGTTTGTAGCGCCCCCTACAGGATTTAAAAGAAGCAGCCGCGGCGCCACGTTTCACCGATATGTACGAAACTCGGTAGGCACGTGTAACGTTATCGGATTTCCTTAAACATTGGTCAGTACAGTCAAAAAATTATGCTGATTAAAAGTTGTGCTATTTGTGCATGTACATTAAAGGGCGTGTCCGTGGTGTGGCATCAAAATCAGCCATTTTGAATTTTTTTGTAATTTTCTGTGATTTTTCGTGTTGTATTTTAACAAACTCCTCCTAGGGAATTTATCGGATCTGCTTCATAATTGGTCAGTACAGTCAGAAAACATTCCTGATTAAAAGTTGTGCTATTTATGACTGTACATTGACATTGATCCGTGGCGTGCCGTCAACTCGGCCACATTGCACTTCCCATGGCGTTTTTTTGCGTTGTATTTAATTATTTAATTGTCAGTACAGTCAAAACATGTTGCTGATTAAAAGTTCTGCGATTTGTGACTGTACCTTAAACGGTGTACCCGTGGTGTTGCATTGAATTTCGACGATTTACCATGAAATAGATAGTACTCAACTTCAATGTACAATGTCTAATCTCCACTAAACTTCACATATTCTGTAACAGTCCCACCCCGCACACAGTCTGTTCAGCCTCCTGCCTTCTGGAAGAAGGTATAGTGTATAGTATAGTGTATATTCTATAGTGTATATTTTATTGTCTATATTGTATATTTTATTGTCAATCTTTTTAGCATTAGTGAATGTCTTATCTATTGTGCCTGTGCACTTTACCTGTTTCACCATGGGAGAGTGAGAAACGTCCTCTCAATTTGTATGTCTGGTGCATGTGAAGAAATTGACATTAAAGCTGACTTTGACTTTTTGACTTCGAATCCTGTCAGAACTCCCTTAGGATGATGACGATGACATCTTGTGAATCTTAACAATAAGCAAAATGTCTTAGCCATGCTTCCCAGAAAGCCCATAACCCAAATTCCTGCCCTGAACACATCTACATGACAATATTCAGTAATAGTGATAGCGCCACCCACCTAGTGGTGAAAGGAAATATCATTTTTATACTTTACTGTATATCTTCCAGCAGATTGACCAGATCCAGCTAAAATCCAGTCAGAACTCCCTTAGGATGATGACGATGACATCTTGTGAATCTTAACAATAAGCAAAATGTCTTAGCCACGCCCCCCAGAAAGCCCATAACCCAAAGTCCTGCCCTGAACACATCTACATGACAATATGCAGATATAATGATAGCAACACCTACTGGCAACGGGAAGTAAGCGCTGCGTGGCGATTTTGAGCTGATTTACGTGAAATGTTCATGTTGTGGTCCGCACGTGTTACGACGGCACTTGATGCAGCCGTAGCACACCCCGGGTTGCGTGGAGTACGAGGTCCCCCCCAACGCTGCTTGCAGCTTTAATTATTATTATTATTATTAAAGATAATAGTTTGTGTGTTGTAGGTTGAAAGTTAAACCAGGCTTAATCAGCGGTCTTAACACGCAGTCTGCAGAGGTTTGAAGTGTTTTCAACTAACAGAAGATTCATAAACAGTCTGAAGATGAACGTCTTCCTCTCTCACATGCACACTTTATTTACAGCCCTGTGTGTGTGTGTGGGGGGGGGCAGACAGGAAGAGGTGCCCCCCTATTAAACTTCCCCTCCCCCTTACACACACACACACACACACACAGATTGGTTCCACTCTCTCAGGTAACAACATCTGGTTGTATGTGTGTGTGTGTGTGTGTGTGTGGTGTTACACTGTGTAAACACCCCCCAACCCCCCACACACACACAGGAATGTGAGGCTGTGTTAACTTCAGGCTCCACACTGATCTGTCCACATCGAGCTTAATGCTAACAGAGCCCAATGTGTCGAATGAAAATGCTAACAATGCTAACCAGCAGGGAGTGTGAAGACATCAGTCAGCAGTTACCATGACAACACACACGGTGAGATCACTAAAGGTCACGTCTTTACCTGAGAGAAGAGACAGTTAGGGAAGCACAGAGGGACATTTGTATAATATGTCAGTAAATACCCCACCTGTGACCTTTGACTCTTCCCACTCCCTGCCCCCTTTTTGCTCTGTGCTCTAATAACAGCTGCTTCTATTTACTGTATCTGTAACTATAAAGATGTATCTGTAAATATAAAGATCTATCTGTAAATATAAAGATGTATCTGTAACTATAAAGATCTATCTGTAAATATAAAGATCTATCTGTAAATATAAAGGTGTATCTGTAAATATAAAGATGTATCTGTAAATATAAAGATCTATCTGTAACTATAAAGATGTATCTGTAAATATAAAGGTGTATCTGTAAATATAAAGATCTATCTGTAAATATAAAGATGTATCTGTAAATATAAAGATGTATCTGTAAATATAAAGATCTATCTGTAAATATAAAGGTGTATCTGTAAATATAAAGATCTATCTGTAAATATAAAGATGTATCTGTAACTATAAAGATGTATCTGTAAATATAAAGATCTATCTGTAAATATAAAGGTGTATCTGTAACTATAAAGATGTATCTGTAAATATAAAGGTGTATCTGTAAATATAAAGATCTATCTGTAAATATAAAGATGTATCTGTAAATATAAAGATCTATCTGTAAATATAAAGATGTATCTGTAACTATAAAGATGTATCTGTAAATATAAAGGTTTATCTGTAAATATAAAGATGTATCTGTAAATATAAAGATGTATCTGTAACTATAAAGATGTATCTGTAAATATAAAGGTTTATCTGTAAATATAAAGGTTTATCTGTAAATATAAAGATCTATCTGTAAATATAAAGGTGTATCTGTAACTATAAAGATATATCTGTAAATATAAAGATCTATCTGTAAATATAAAGGTGTATCTGTAACTATAAAGATCTATCTGTAAATATAAAGGTGTATCTGTAAATATAAAGATCTATCTGTAAATATAAAGATCTATCTGTAAATATAAAGGTGTATCTGTAACTATAAAGATATATCTGTAAATACTACTGTGTGGTATTTGTACTGTGTAGTATCTGAGTACTTACCTGTAGTCAAAGTGAGGGGCAGCAGAACCCTGAGAACCACACCTACAGCCAGCTCCGAGGACATCTTGAACCCGGTTCATCCACTTAAGTTCACTTCGGTCCGGTCCACTGTTTTAATCCGGGTTTATAGATCCACATCCAGATCCACGTCTACGTCCAGTTCTGGTTCAGCAGCGGGCTGTCAGAGCTCTGTGTGCCCGTCAGAGGTGCCGCTGGTCCGGCTGAGGGCGGAGACACACCCGGGTGCCATCTCGACCCGTCCTCTGGACAGACAGACAGACACGCAGACAGACAGCAAGAGAGAGAAAGAGCCAGGTAAAAAGACAGACAGACAGATGCTGAGTGTCTCACTGCCAGTTTAGATCATCTAAAGATTGAAGACTGTCTATCTGTCCTCCTGTCTGTCTGTCTGTCTGTCTGTCTGAAGTTACATTTTCTGGAGGAAAAAAACAACAAAATCCCGCTGCAGACAAACTGTCCTTACAGTTTGTTTTGTTCTTCCTTTTCCTCTTCTCCTTCCTCTTATCCTTCCTCTTATCCTTCCTCTTCTCCTCTCTTTTGCATCTGAACAATCTCAGCGAAGGTTATCTGAACTTCTTTCTCTTTTCTCCTCAGTCTAAAAAACACGGAGCTCCCAGACCCCGCCCACCAAAGGCCTCGGCCAATCAGAAGGCCAGCTGAGGAGGACCCAGTTCAAACTGGAAAGTGAGGCCACGCCCCCGTCAATAATTAAATAAAGCATAAAGACAATATGAAATCATCCATTAAGGATTGACATTAATATTCTGTAGTGTGTAAGTAATTAAATCAATAATCATTTAGACATTAATGTGTTTTATTTTTTACTTTTATCAATAATTATAATTAATACATACAATAATGAAAACACAGTATAATTGTGAGACTTAGCTCTTTCATTATCTTTTCAGTATTTTAAATTCTATGGTTTACAGTGCTATATGTATAATACTTTTTTCTATACAGTCTAAATATATTATACTTTATTGTATACAGTCTATATATATTATACTCTATTGTATACAGTCTAAATATATTATACTTAATTGTATACAGTCTATATGTATTATACTTTATTGTATACAGTCTAAATATATTATACTTTATTGTGTACAGTCTATATGTATTATACTTTATTGTATACAGTCGAAATATATTATACTTCATTGTGTACAGTCTAAAAGTATTATACTTTATTGTATACAGTCGAAATATATTATACTTCATTGTATACAGTCTGTATCTATAATACTTTATTGTATACAGTCTATATATATTATACTTTATTGTATACAGTCTATATGTATTAAACTTTATTGTATACAGTCTATATGTGTAATATTTTATTGTATACAGTCGAAATATATAATACTTTATTGTATACAGTCTATATATATTGTACTTTATTGTATACAGTCTATATATATTATACTTTATTGTATACAGTCTATATTTATAATTCTTTATTGTATACAGTCTATATGTATAATACTTTATCGTATAGAGTCTATATATAGTACTTTATCGTATACAGTCTATATATGTTATACTTTATTGTATACAATCTATATATATTATGTTTATGGTATGTAGTGCCAATCAATAAAGGAACATCTTTTATTACCTTAATGAGTTATTCTGTTTGTTTTTAAATGAATTAATAGAAATAAAATATTATTTCTGAGCTATATACATTACATACATTATTTACATATGTAAATAAACCCACCCATTGTTTTAATCACACTCTTGACCTCGTTCTATCATATGGCATTGATATTGAACATTTAATAGTCTTCCCATAAAATCCTTTTCTATCTGACCATTATTTAATAACGTTTGAATTCATATTACTAGATTACCGTAAAACTTGGAGAGAGACTTGGCTGTTTTATTACAGGAGAGAGTGAAGGGGGCACTCATAAGATCCTGCTTCATCGGACTGAAAGACATGGATGCTCCAACTGCCTTCTTTTTTAATCTAGAAATGAAGGAAGCGAGGAAAAAACGTATGGCATGTCTACGTCTTCCTGATGGGAGGATGACAACAGACCCGGCAGAAATGAGACAACATGCAGTAGATTTTTATTCCTCTCTGTTCGGGGCTGAGGACTGTGACCAGAGCTGTGCTGCAGAGATTTTACAGGGTCTTCCTCAGCTCAACGATGGAGAGAAGGCGGACATGGATAAAGAGCTGAGCCTAGAGGAGCTGACCACATCAGCGCAGCAGCTGGCTAAAGGACGAGCTCTGGGATTAGACGGGCTGTCGGCTGATTTCCACCAGCAGTTCTTGGGCGTCCTTGGTCCAGATCTTCTGTCAGTCTTTTTAGAGTGTTTTAAAAGAGGGGAGCTGCCAGCCTCATGCCGGAGCGCTGTTGTCTCTCTACTACCAAAAAAGGGAGACCTGGCCTCATTAAAAAACTGGAGGCCTGTGGCACTTCTGTGCACGGACTACAAAATACTGTCCAGAGCTCTGTCTAACAGACTCAAACAAAACATTGACCTTATGGTGCACATGGACCAGAGCTACTGCATCCCTGTGAGAACAATAATGGACAGTCTCTTCCTATTGAGGGATGTAATCGACATCAGTAAAGTGTTGGATATTAACATCGGCATCCTGTCACTTGATCAGGAAAAGGCTTTTGACAGGATTGATCATGCATATTTGTTTTCACTATTTCGTGCTTTTGGTATTGGAGAGGTTTTCATATCATGGGTGGGTTTGTTATACAATGGTGCAAGCTGCATGGTGAAAGTTGAGGGGGGGCCGAGTACACGTATACAGGTCCAGAAGGGAATAAGGCAGGGCTGCCCTCTCTCTGGTCAGTTATACAGCTTGGCTATTGATCCTTTGCTTAACAACATAAGGAACAAACTCAAAGGTTTCCATCTGCCCAACAGTCCACTCAGCCTGCCTCTAACATTGGCTGCTTATGCTGATGATGTAAACATTTTCATAACCGGACATGCTGATGTGTACTTGTTGAGAGAAAGCCTTGGACTGTACCAAAGAGCCTCCTCTGCTCAGGTTAACTGGGCTAAATGTGAGGCCCTGTACTGTGGCTCTTTAAACACAAACATGAGGCCTGTTCTTCCATCAGGACTTCAATGGAAGAGGAATGGGATGAAGGTTCTCGGGGTGTATCTGGGAGATCAGGATTTCCAACAACAGAACTGGGAGGGTGTAGTGGCGAAAGTGTGTGCTAGGTTGTCTAAATGGCATTGGCTGCTGCCTCAGCTGTCATACAGGGGACGAGTTTTGGTCATCAATAACTTGGTCGCCTTGACACTGTGGCACAGGCTGAAGGTTTTATTGATATGTATTCGAGCTGCAGCTCTTTATCTTCCAGTGGAGGAAGGAGGACAGGAACTGGTGGATATAAGAGCAAAAATGATGTCCTTCAGACTGCAGACTGTCCAGAGGCTGCGGTACCAGTGTGGTCTGCGGTGGCAGGAGACCGCGGAGCAGCCACTACAGAGAGTGAGTTGACTAGGATACAGCAAACAGCTGTTCCTGGTTCGGCTAGATGAGGTAGATCTCACCGGCCTGACACTTTTTTACACCTCAGTCCTGGAGGCGTGGCAGGGTCTGAAACACACCAGGGACTCTGCTGCTTCACCTGGCAGGTGGCTCTTGCAGGAACCATTACTACATAATAACTTTATAACATTACAAATACTGTCATCCTCCAGTCTGTGCTGTGCTCTGCAGAGAGCTGGATGTGTCAAAGTGGGACATCTGATGCACGACGCAGGGACGTCTCTCGAGGGTTTGGCTCAGAGGATGAACATCAGGTCCACAGGACAGACTGGTAAAGGAGGTCTGTGATTCCCTGCCAGGACCCGTGAGGACCTATGTCAAGAACTTTGCAACTCCGCAAGATCCTGTCTGGATGTAAGTCTCCCTTGCTGAAGCACGTCGTGTCTCACAGGAGACAGCTCTATATGGTACTGACCAAAAGGGATGAAGAGCTTAACCTCAGATTGCTGGTCAAAGTAGATGATTATGAGTACGTGAGTTTTGCCTCTTCATCTGTGATGAAGTGTTTTGGTTGTGGAGGGGAGGGACACACAGTGAGGTCCTGTCCGGGGAGCGGTGGCCCGGCCCCGCCCGGTTGGGGGGAACCACGGCTGCTGGAGCAGAAAGCAGAGCAATAATAGATGATGGAAAAGGCAGTTATGTTGGTTTTATTTAATTTTTTTTTTTTTATCCCGGTTTTTAACATCTTAAACATCATGGATGTTTTAAAACTAGGTGTGTTAAATGTAAATGGTGCAAGAGATGCAAGGAAACAAGCTTTTATCTTTGACACAGCCTTAGAGAAAAAAATAAAAAATTTTTTTTTACAAGAAACCCACAGTCATTTTAAAAATGATGCTGAGTGGAAGAAGGAATGGGGAGGGGAGGTGGTTTTAGGCTACCATACGTCTGTTAGTGGAGGAGTGGGTTTCCTCTTCTCAAAAAATTTTAAACCCAAATCCCTGGAGGTCCAACATTTTATTGATGGCAGGTTGCTTTTGAACAGAGCTCAGTTCGACCATTTTATAGCTGTTTTTATCAACATTTATGCCCCAACAGCCGGTGCAGAGAGGAAGCAGTTTTTTTTTTAAAGTTAATGATGTTTTAAATGGGTGTGCTGCGGGGGATTTTTTATTCTTGGGTGGGGATTTTAACTGTACAGAAGATGCGGCATTAGATCGCAATCATGCAAAGCCTCATCCAGCCTCTCAGCACGTCTTAAAGCAGCTGGTCCACACTCATGGCCTGGTGGACGTGTGGAGAAAGATGCACCCAGACTCCAGACAGTATACCTGGTCCCACTTCAGAGAGAGTAGGGTCTCCTTAGCGAGGCTTGATTGTATTTATTGTTTTAAACATCATCTTAATGTTGTTGAAGATTGTAATATTGTACCAGCTGTTTTTTCTGCCTTTTAACAGGCAGTTATTCCTTGCCCTTGTCGCCAAGTGCTTGCTCATGGTGGTACTGTTGGGTCTCTGTAAATAATGTTTTAAAGAGTTCGGTCCTGACCTACTCTATTTGAAAAGTGTCCTGAGATAACTTCTGTTATGAATTGGCGCTATGCAAAAAAAATTGAATTGAATTGAATTGTTTTTACTGATCATTCTTTGCTTTTATGTAAAGTTTTTATAAGAAATTTTAAGCCTAAAAGCGCTTATTGGCATTTTAATTCTGTTTTAGTGCATGATAAAAGTTTAAGGGAGGTCTGGGTGCCCGGATAGCTCAGTGGGTAGAGCTGGCGACCCATGTACCGAGGCTGAGTCCTTGCTGCAGCGACCCAGGGTTTGAATCCAACCTGCGGCCCTTTGCTGTGTGTCATCCCCTCTCTCTGCCCCCCTTTGCTGTCTGTCTTTAGCTGTCAACTATAATAAAGGCAATAAAAGCCCAAAAAAAATATATATATAAAAAAAGTTTTAGGGAGGTCTTAAATTATTTCTCAGGTGTTTTTAGACAGAGGACGGGTGATTTTAGTAGTCTTAGGCAGTGGTGGGACCATGGTAAGACTCAAATCCAACTCCTGTGTCAGCAACACACTCTTAATGTCACCCGAGACATCACCAGATCTATGAGGGATCTAGAGACTGATATAGTGGAGCTTGAGTCCACAGGAAAT